TTCAAACAAAGGGAGAATATTCGGGAGTTAAGCACCTTGACTTTGGGAAACTGGCGAATGTCAAGGCTCGAACAGACAGTACTTTCTCCGTGGAGGAAAAAGGAAAAGTTAATACTGTACTGAACCCTTAAAAGATGCATTAAAACGCAAACATCGTACTTGTCTCGGTTATATAGGCTGTTGCATGGTTGGAGGAACCACAAACCCAGGCGTATGAATCCTTTGCTTAAGAGACACCTAAAAAGTCACATATAATGAGGTATCGTCTACCTTTCCAGAACATTGTGCAGAGCTTTAAAAAGTATGCACCTAGTTTCGTAACTGAGGCCCTTCTTCCAGTTTCCATCAGAAACTCTCTCCAAACCGTGAGAAATACAGCTCTCCCACGATACAGTGTCTCCACTGCCGTACCAAAAAACCCAGAGCTCCCGTGTAAAATTGGAAAACAGGTATGGTTTTTGGGGCTCTGAATTCTCCTTTTTGGTGCGTACCCAGGCACACATCAAGTTTTGTTTAAGGCAGTTTGAATAGGAAGAGAGGATCGGGTCCTCGTACATGTCATACGTTTTTTCCTCCTTTAGAACGTATTTTCGATAGTGAATACCACTTAGGTCGGTCTAAAAATAAAAACAATAATTCCTTTGGTTATACGTCGAAGTAATTTCGGGAAAGGTGGAGTAAAATAGGGGTTTCTTACCAAGGCAAAAATGTTTGTATAGCTGTTTTCCAGTGATCGGCCATCCATGCCAGAATACTGATTTGATGCACACATGATTTGGACGCATACGGTAAAACATGAGGTTTACGGACACCTACTTAGGCAGGACGGACAGAAAAAAACAATGACCGCCATGCAGACAGCGATTGACCCAGTTGGTGCAGCCACTTAGACCAATCAGTAATTAGCGCTCGCCTTAATACCTGGTGCAGCTAGGGTTTAGGGCGCGGAGGCCTCTGATTAGTCAGTTTTCTAACGAGAAAGCTGCCTCTGGTAGGGGAATCGATGTGCACAAATTCATTGGCATCCGGAGCAGATGGGTTACAAGTGAGAAGCAAATGTCACAACTGGTCAACCGCTTGAAAAACCGAACTCGATCAATTCGGCGAAGATCTGCACTTCATTGGACCTATCTCGAGCAGCGGAGACCTGTTGTAGCGGGAGTTCAGCACTCCTTTTCCTGAGGTAAGCAGTTCCAAGATTGGGTGATTTACTAAAAGCCACAAGTCATCCACCGTACGATAGCACAGTCCTTAGAACTCTTTCTCACCACAACCATACACACTGTTTTAGGTAACTTTTACGTATTCCTTTGGAGCCCATTCCAAAGCTGACTTGACAAGTATAAAGCGTACTGAAAATTCAAGGCTACCATTATAATATTTTGATGGCGAAAACCGTAGTATATGCCTGATTGCTTAACTACCTGACGCCTTTGTGAAAACCGATTTTCACTGTCTGGAAACCATATCTAGCATTTCGTGCTAGGAAAAGCTCGGTGGAACGAAAATGAACGAATGAAATGATTTGGGCAACACGATGATCAAAAGCAGGCGAGGATATTGTGTAGTGGGCGAAAAGTTATGACAGTCTTAAAAGCATGCAACAGCGCACAATTTAACAGGTAGAAAACTTAAGACAACAAGAGTATAAATGACCGAAATGAATAAGTCCGAAAATAAGCCAAGCACGACCTTTTAACCGTCGTAAAGGGCAACATTTACCGTGTGCTCTACAGCACGGCGTCACAGGAACAGAGATTTATGCATTAATCAGACTACTTAATACTAACCTTCCGCCTCATCTAGCACATGCTCTCCTCTCTCACTCCCCTGATCCCGGTGTAAAGGCAGGAAGGAGGAAGCGGGAGCGGGCGCGGTGGCTGATAGGATCAAACAACATATTTGCGCGTGCCGCACACCGGAGATGCGTACGATGGATGGGGATTTCAAGGGAACGGGTGGACTAATATTCCCACTGAGTGAGACTGTTATAGACACCACATTAAGAAGGGGCCAGTGTAGCCTGACTGTTCGTTATGGGAGGAAGATCAAATCAGCTCGCCAGCTGGAAACCTTCCAAACTACATCCGTTAGCGCATCGTGATCGTTTAAAAGCTCGTCAGATTGTTTAAAGTGGGGAATATTTGTCGAGTGACGCGGAGACACACTACCTAGGGTTGAACTCACTCTTTCTTCTCTCCCCCAAGCACTAAACGACTGTCCGAGCCACTCTGTTGTGTAATGCTGGGACCACACGCCAGTGGCTCATCGAGATAGACAGGCCGTCTGCACGAATCGTGCACCATCTAGCCTCTCTCAACACACTTGATTTTCACGCACGGGTGCTGGACTACTAGGACCCCGCATGCGTGAAAGTGCCATACAGGCTTGTTGACAAGGAGACATTGAGTCTGATCCACAGTTCTCCATTCGAACAATCCACACAACACACACACACACACACACACACACACACCCACGACGACAGTTCGACCGTCGATTCCGACGATGTCCACCGTGTGCCCCACAGCTGCAGCAGCGGTGGCAGCAGGGACGGTGACTTACGCAGGGGTTCTTAGTGCCGGTAGACTTGCGCTGCATCTACCTACACTCTCTCCTCCTCCCCCGCCTGGGCCCGGTGTCAGGACAGAGTCAAGGAGACCGGAGACAAGAGAGGCCGCAGGTGGATGGCTCGGACGGATCCTCACCTTGGCGTTCCACCACACCCCCTGGTCCACACAACAAATGACCAGGCTTTCAACCAACACAACAGAGATTTGGAGGCTGGCACGGCCGAAGCCGCACCTGGGCGTGCCGCCAACGCCTGGCTCGGATCCCACACTGCGGTAGGAGTGCGATAAAGGCCACATTTAGAAGGAGCTATTGCAGCCTGACTCTCAGACCGCCTCCCGTTAAGGAGGAGGTCCAAGTTACCCCGTCAGTTGGCAACCTTCCAAGCCACGGCTTTTAGCGCACCGTGATAGCTTCAAGCGCGTCAGATTGATTATAGTGAGGAAATTGCGCTGAGTCGTCGACCTCACTCTCCCTTCCCACTCCCACACCCCAGCCGCTGTCCGAGCCGGTCAGTAGACTGGAGTGGGGAATGGGCGCGGTGGCTGACATGGTCAACTGACCATGCCAGCGCGCGCCACAGCGCGACCTGCCCCCCCATACACTCAACACCAGGATTTCACACAACGGGGGTTGAGCGGCTTGTCTCTCACTTGCGTGAGAGGGCCGTGTAAGGTGCTGTTTCAGCCCGTCCCCAGCCCACCAGTCCGCCACTACACACAACACACACACAACGTGACAAACTGCGTGAACAGAGAACCTATGACTGAATGTACCACCATCAAGGATTTAGGTTTAAGCTACACTAGTAATCTTGATCTCTCGCCGCACGCTGACAGAATTACAGCCAAAGCTGCTCAGATTTGTGGCTTTATTTCTTACAATTTCTATCTTCCTGAAATTAAATTAAGGCTCTATCGTATGTTTGTACTTCCCATTCTCGAGTATTGTTGCCCATTCTTTGGTTTGATGAATGAAGCCAGTCGTTTAAAAATTGAAAATGTCCAAAGACGTTTTTCAAAAAAACTTTTAGATAGGGAACATCCCAATATCTCCTACTCAGATAGATGCCAACTAACTAACCTAAAATTTTTATGGGTTCGAAGACTAGAAGCGGGCTTCTGTCTCCTCTTTCGCATTAATCATAGTTCAAATTTTCCTCGGATTTCAGCACTTACCCCTAGTAGTCGCCCATACAATCTTCGCAATTCGTCTCTAATTATACCTCTTCCAGCGTCCTCCACCTCTAAGCGCTCCCTTTTTTTCGCTTCCAGGTATACTTTCCTCTGGAATAACCTTCCAATAAATATAAGATCTTCAGAAAATCTACACACCTTTAAGAGAAGGCTACGCCTTTATCTGAATACTGACTCGATTAAACTTTTATTTTCCTCATCCTTCCCAGACAACTTTTCCTATGACACTGAGAAAGGGCCACCGGGAATTTAGCATGCCGCTATTAAATTTCCGTATCTGTTCACGTTTCTTTATGAGTAGTCTCGCTACCCAAGATACCTCACCAGAAATGTTAATTATTCCAATTTTTTAGCTCATGCATCGTGCCCTCACAGAATGCACGCCATCGACGCTCTTGGCGAAACCTTCTGTATTCGCCATATACTAGTAGTTTGGTCGCATCTCCCTTCCCCCATCCTCGGTTGGACTCGGATGAATGTAATCGACCGCATCTGGGTTCCTATCGCCTCGAGACTGATCTTCATGATGCCCTCACTGAATGCGCTTCATCGATGCTCTTGGCGAAGCCTTCTATATTAGCCATATACTAGTAATCTGGTCGCATCTCCTTTGCCCTATCCTCGGATGGACTCTGATGAATGTAACAGACCGCATCTGGGGCCTTTTCGCCTCGAGACTGGTTGTCATCATGCCCTTACTGAATGCGCTCCATCGGCGGTCTTGTCAAAGCCTTCTATATTCGCCATATACTAGTAGTCTGGTCGCATCTCCCCCCATGTTCGGATGGACTCGGTTGAATGAAACTGACCGCATCTGGGTTCCTATCGGCTTGAGACTGGTTTTCAATTTCGGCACTTATTTTTCTTATTCAAGGCGATACAGGCCAGTCCTGACCGACCCGCCTACGTACCATTTTATGAAATCCGTTACACAATGCCACATACAGCTGACATCTATTTCGGCCATGTTGATGTCGGGCTTTATTCCATTTTGTACCGCCACATGCAGGCCAGTCCTCCCTTTTTTTCTGATGCTATTTTTCTGAGGGGTTTTTTTTTCTCCTGTTAAATTACTACAATCATTTTTAAATTTTGCTTTGGAGTTTTTTTTTTCACCCCTCGTTTTTTTTTTCATTTTCATTTTGCTTAACGGACTTCTAATCTCAAAAACTATGCATTGCACTTTGTGCAGATTTTGCCTACATCGTCTAAAATTTGCATGTAAATTTATTTTTACTTGCTTTGATGGGACCCCGACGGGTCTTTAATAAAATAATTGAAAATTGAAAATTGAAAATTGAAGGCTTGACTGGCTTTCGAGATCCTGTTGGCGACTTCGTCATCAATCTTGGTGTTGCGGGAGAGAGTACTGCCCAGGTACGGGAAGTTCTCCACCACTTGCAGTTGGGTTCCGTTCACGCTGATTTGCGGCGGCGCGTTGGGGGCTGTGGCTGAGTTGGGTGGCGGTTGGTGCATCACCACCGTCTTCTGCGTGTTAATGACCAACCCAAAGTTCTCGCAGGCGGCGGAGAACAGGTCCATGCTCCGTTGCATCCCCTCTTCCGAGGTGGTGTTCAGGGCGCAGTCGTCAGCGAAGAGAAGTTCGTGCATGGTGGCTGTGGATACGCGCGATTGGAAGTGCATCCGCCGTTGATTCAGCAGGTGACCGTCCGTCCTGTAGGCGATGCGGATCCCGGGGCGTTCGTCGCGGTAGGCGTCCACCAGCATGGCAGAGAACAAAGACTGAAGAGGGTAGGCGCCAGCACGCATCCCTGCTTCACTCCGTTAGTCACTGCGAATGCCTCTGAGACAGCTCCGCTGTCTGTAACTCGCGCCATCATACCGTCGTGCAACTGACGCACCATCTGAGTGAATCGCTCCGGACAGCCGAATTTCTGCATGATCTTCCACAGTCCTTCACGATTCACCGTGTCGAAGGCTTTCGTCAGGTCCACGAAGGTAGAGTACAGGTGGGTCCGCATCTCCTGACACATCTCCTGAAGTTGACGGGCAGCGAAGATCATATCCGTGGTCCCACGATGACGACGGAAGCCGCATTGGCTTTCCGGCAGAAGGCCCTGTTCCAGATGGTTATTGAGGCGGTTGAGCAGGATGCGAGCGAAGATCTTCCCAGCAATGTTCAGTAGGGAGATGCCACGGTGATTGTCGCAGACTTGGCGATTCCCTTTTCGCTTGTAGAGCTGCACGATGGTTGCGTCTTTGAAATATTGCGGGACTTCGCCTTGACGCCACATCTTCTGGAAGAGCGCAGTCAGGTGATCCATCAGTTGGGGACCTCCGTGCTTGTAGACTTCAGCGGGGATTGCGTCCGATCCGGGTGCTTTCCCGCTGGAGAGCTGCTGCACGGCCCTGATGGTCTCCTGGAGAGATGGCGGGAGGTCGAGGTCCATGCTGGTCTCCACTTGCGGCAAACGCTTTATGGCGGCGTCGGAGATGACGGAGGGGCGGTTGAGGACGCCTCGGAAATGCTCGGCCCATCGCTGTAGGATTTGCGTCTTCTCAGTCAGGAGAGTGCTGCCGTCGGCGCTGAGGAGAGGAGCAGTGCCCTTCGTCGGTGGACCGTAGACGGCTTTGATCGCAGAGAAGAAGTTTTTCCATTCGTTGCGGTCTGCGTAGCCTTTGATTTCCTCAGCTTTGCGAGCAGTCCAGGCGTCCTGCATCTCGCGCAGTCGTTGCTGAAGTTGGCGGCGACTGCGATAGAAAGCAGCTTTGTTGTTCTCATTGGGGTGATCTGCGTAGGCTTTGTGTAGGCGGTTCTTCTCGGCAAGCAGATTTCAGATGGCGGCGTCGTTGTCGTCGAACCAGTTCAGGTGTTGGCGGGGAGCGCGACCGAGGACGGCGAGCGCCGTCGACTGGACCGTGTCTCGCAGTTGACACCAGCGGTTCTCCACGGAGGCGTTCTCGGCATCGGCGGCGTCGTCGGCGGCGGCAGCGATAGGAAGGTTATCTAGCCGTTGAGCTAGCTCATTGCTGAAATGGAGACGGTGAGCAGGCAAAGACAACAAAGCAACATTCAGCTTACCTGGGGGTCGCTTACCTTGTGGTCTCCTGCGAGGCTGTAGGCGAATACGCATCTTCGAGATGACGAGGCGATGGTCGGTCCACCCGTCAGCACCCGCGATCGCCTTCGTCACCAGCACGTCCCGCTGATCTCGCCTCCGGACGAGGACATAGTCCAGCAGGTGCCACTGGCGCGACCGAGGATGCCTCCAGGTGGCCTTCTCTCGCTCCGGCAGACAGAAGAAGGTGTCCGTCAGGATGAGGCGGTGTTCTGCGCAGGTGCGGAGAAGCAGCAGAACATTTTCGTTGGAGCCGCGGAGACCGTGGTGACCCAGCACTCCTCTCCAGGTAGTATGGTCTGTGCCGACGCGGGCGTTGAAGTCACCAAGGACAATCAACTTGTCCGCCTTCGACACAGTCGCCAAGAGGGTGTGCAGGTCCTCGCAGAATTTGTCTCTGACGGCGTCGGGGCTGGTCAAAGGCGGAGCATAGGCGCTGATGATGGTGGCGAATTCGCCCTCACCCCGGCAGAGAGGCAGACGGAGGCTCATCAGGCGGTCGTTGATTCCCTGCGGCAGGCTGGGCAGTCGCCCCACGATGCCGTTCCGGATGACGAAGGCGAGGCCCGCGTCTCGTCTCTCTGCCCTGGGTCGACCACTCCAGAATAAGGTGTAGCCGGCACCCACCTCCTCCAGTTGGCCTTGTTCGGAGAATCGGGTCTAGCTGAGTGCGGCGATGTCCACCTTGTAGCGCGCCAGTTCTCGTGCCACTAGCGCCGTCCTCCGTTCCGGTCGGTTGCTCCTCAGATTGTCTAAAAGGGAACGAACATTCCAGGCTGCCAGAGTGAGCGGGTTCACCCTGCCAGTCTGGCGACTGCGGCGATGAAATTTAGGAGTAGGAGAAGAAGAATAGGCTGGAAGAGGAAGAGAGTGATTGTTGTTGTTGTTTCGGTTTTGGCTGTTTCGACCGTGTGTTTTTTGTCTGCGGCCACGGCCAGCCTACAGACAGCGTGGTTCCCAGCGATCTTTAGGGCACCTTTTCTAGCCCCCTCCCCCTTGCGAGGGCAGGCAACGCATCCCTGAACAGGGCTGCCCGGTTATCCCAGACGGCTGCCGGACTCCACTATGGGCCACGACTTTTTGTTAGTGAGAGAACGACCCGGACTAGCCTGGGACCTTGGTGGTGATGTGATGGAGTGAAGTAGGAGAGAGCATACACGCGACCAAACGCTATAGGACTTAGAACTAGAGTCGACAAGCAGACACAGTCATCAGTCAGAGACAGAAGTGAGAGGGCACCATTCAAGTGTCAAGCATCGTAACACCTAGCTATTAGTAGAGAGAGGCATAGGTTGACAGACAGACAGTCGCAGAAGGCATCGAGACTTTCATCTAGCTATTAACAGACAGACTAGCATACAGAGGGCAGGCAGCAAGAGCAGCATACGACACGGAACTTCAACAAACAAAGGAAGAAACAGAGCAAATGCACTTACCTGAGGAAGAACTTACCTGGTGGCCTCCTGCGATGGTTCAGGCAGAGCCTCGTCACGACGATGTCGACGGGAAGATCCACCGGCCAGCGCAGACCGCAGTACTGCGAGTGCAGGTGCACGCACGGATACCCTCACCTGGTTTAGCCCGCCGGTGGAGACGGTTGCCCGGGGTGTGCCCGCTGAGCAGAGCCCAGGACGTATCGGGTCGTTGTGGGTTGCGTTGTGGGATTTGGGGCCAGCAGGCATACTTAAGTAAACATCGATAATAAAAAACGCAAATAACGCAGCCTAGATCACGACATCTAAGTCGAAATCTGAGAAAGAATATTGAAAGATGAAAATGGGAGTTCAAAGGCGTAAGCCTATTTCCCTCAAATACACTGACTTACTGACTAAATTGATATTACAGTTACACCCAAGACGTAGTAGAGAATCGCGAAGCTCACGCTGAAGGTCTCCTAAAATAAATTTAACCGCGGGAACATTAAAACTTATTAAAATGTTGTGCCAAAATTTATTGGATACGGTAACATTGTAAAAGGCAAAGCAGTGCCATTTATTTGTTTCAGACGGAAATTCGATTCGTTCAGTTCAGTTAAGTTCAGTTTGTTGAGAGAAGTAGCCGCGAGTATTTGAGTATCCTATTTGCAACGTCAAATTGGGGGCGCACAGAGAAAACATCTGGGTTTGAATAATTCAAATATGCTCATAGTAGTATGAAAAACTGAGTGTGAATCTCAGGGGTTGAGTTCGATCGCCCATAACTCGTGATCATTTTGAAATATGAATATGTCAAGGTTCCTTTTGAAGTCCTGTATTAATGGGAACATCACAAAGTGTGGAGGGAGGGCATTCCTTTGTTCGGTCACTCTGGCAGAGGAGGAGAACCTCCGCACATCCAGCCTTTCCTGCTGAGTGCGCAGTTTGAAGAGGTGACCTCGGAGGCTGGTTGTGCCAAAGAATTCAAAAATGTCTTCAGAGGCCAGGCTGCAGTCCAATCCTTTTATTCATGCTAAGCATGCCCTGTACAGCTGGGTGCACTATATTCAGCGTCCGCCTTTTTAACGGAATCTGCCTAGATTATCATCCGATAGTTTCACATCCAAAGTCTTTTTTACCCATAGAATTACCTTTACATTTATCTAATCCCTTTTCTAGTGTGTTCGTCTATGTATACCTGATTGGAAATATTCAAGGCGTGCACAAAACCTTGTCCGTAACCTTCCCAACATATCCGTCCGCAACAGAGACGCTGCTATAGGAAAGGTATTTAGGACAGTAAAATAATAGGTTACTGACCCAAACACTAACCCTACAACGCCATCTTGGATAAAAGCTTGGTAGTCAGTCTAGCCTTGTATGTTGGCCCTGGCAGCAAGACAAAAACGGTTAATTGCAAGAACGCTGGTTAACCTGCTAACGTTCCTCAGGAAGAGTTGGATCCATGCAGCAGGGCTTTGAAGAATATCGGTGAGAATGAGCATATCTTGTATGATGTAATATCGCTCAGGCACAACGAGGGTAGGACCCGATGCGCCATACAGCGACAAAAATAGAATATATAGGTGCACACCTTTTTGTAAGTATCTGAGCTGGCAAAACAATGAATGGATCAGAATTTCATGCGTCATATGACGTTATCAGTCAAGCTTTGTGCCTTCGACTTATCGATGAGCGATTTAAAATTAACTGTATCAAGGGTTTTGTTAATCTTAATGAAAGGACCGCAAAATCTTCACCACTACCATACCTCTTTTCGGGTTTTTTTAGTGGCTTTAAACTTTTATGACGCGAGCCACTTTTACGAAAACCACGTTTGCTGAATAGCATAAGCATACACTGATCAAGGCAACCGCAAAGACTATCACAAAGGCTTTATTTCAAGATTTTACGCGCTAATTTCCACAAATAAGTCGGACGAAAATTGTCAGTCGCTCCTTTGTAGACCTCCTTTGGTTCGACATTTCAGTACTCATCGCTAGTTATACCTAAAACGGAGTCTAAACCGAGTTTCTTTTAGGAAGTTCATATAGGGGAGCAATCGAAATTGAGACAAAGTTGCTGAAGACCGGAAGTTAAGGACCTGGTACAGAATCTTAAAGGAGGTCAAGCCGCATTCACTTCTGCAATAACTATGACTACGAAATAGGAAACTGCTCCATAAATTGACTATTGTGAAATGCGCAGCGTTTGAGTTCGGCTTGGAACTTGAACGCCTTCTAGTGTTTTGAGATTCCGGCAGTTGCTTTCTGTGTGAAGTAACGCCTTGTTGAAATAAACCATGTGTGGATCAAATATTGTCCTTCTTTTGCAGGATTCAACTTGCAAATACGGCCATATCTTCGTCCTCCATAGTGGCTCAGAGGAAATCGTAACCGGAAGCTTAAAGGCGTAGCTGATTCCGTTTGCTTCGGATGACAAGCAAAACCGACTTCATTTTTGCTCCCAGAGTCAGTCTCTTACCAGTGAAGAAGTCGGAAATCAGCGGACAGCATAATCATACAAACGTACTATCTTTGAAGGCTAAGTAAACCATAGCTTTAAAATGAGTTTTTGTACTGAATCCCATTTGGAAAGGAACCTTTTTCCGTTTAGAGAAATTACTACTTGTACGTCTAAGCCGCCGACTGGTAAATTAATGCAGTCTCTAGAGATCTCGAGGGTATGGGAAATGCAAACGTTCACGATCGTAATGCACAAAAGATTTTGACGTCGCAGATAGGTTTCGAACTCACGACCTCTCGGCCGGCAAGCAGCACTCCTAGCCACTCGGCCAGGTCTGCGCAGCCAGAACTCGAAAGCTGTCTATTCTCTGAAAATAATGATCTATTCCACTTCTACGAAGCGTTTTCTGTCCCTTATGACCAAAACTTACCGGAAACTCTTGATTCGCGTTCAAACACGAGGGACGAAACACTAACAGTTAAAGCATAAGAACTCCGTTCGCTACAAAAATCGAACGAAAATGAGCTAGGCAATGAAGCGCAGGCACGTTGTTATGGATGCCTAGGACTCCCGGCTCGAGTTCCAGGATTAGAAGGAAACTTCGATTCTCTCGCAGAAATAATAGCAGTGCTATCAAGCACAATAAAATTAAACCGCCTGAACACGTTGAAAAGAACATCGAAAAAGTTCATGAGCCAGATCACGCATATCTCACACAAATGGAGAAGATCAATGAGCACCACAGGAAGCGAAAAAAAGAAGAACAAAGGACGAAATCGCCAAACCAAATATCTGAATCAGTCGAAGTGCAAGTGAAGGTGAGAAAGCGGACGAGGACGGAACAACGTCTGGCGTTCATCTAAGTTTGACAAATTTGGAATCTACAGAGTCCATTTGCATAAGATACAAGATAATTCACTACCCTTAAAAAATCCGCAAAGGGCAATCGAAATAATTCACTAATACTACAAAAGACTGTCAGTAGTACGCCGTATGAGTGTCCCTCAGTTCAGAATGTCGAAGTAGAGCGATATGCCACACCCCATAAGGCAAAGGTCATATGAAACAACAGAGTAAATGCGCAAAGGAGCTCGTCATAACTCTGCACAGCTCATCTGCAGATGTGGACTCCACGAGCCCAGTAACGGGCTCGTCAAAGGCTAGCTGAACAAGAAAAGTTTCAAAAGAGGTGATCTGGAATGAAAGACCCAAAGCGACTTCTGAGAGTGAACCACCATGCTCACAGTCTAGTAGCAATCAGGATACAGTCATAAAGGTAATCCCAGGGTCTGCGCCTTATCATACCACCAATAAAAGGAGGTGGGATTAAACCACCAGTTCTTTCTCCCAGGGATAACATGGTGTGGTAGTCCAAGGGGTTCCTGAGGCCCCTGGAAGGACCCCAGAAGAGAGGGTCAAACATGATTTCGTGACATTCAACAGGTTACTGAATAGCAGGCGTGCCCTCCAAATGGGCCACGTGTTAGATGCGCTGGACCAACACGGGGGCCACATCGGACTTTGGCAGGCGTTATCTGTGCGCAATAACAAATGCCAACATTCCCGGGGTGCGCTGGCGGACCCTGTTGTCGGCATTCGTCGCACAACTGGACCACTGCCTCCACCCCATTGTTTTGTGGTCAAAATCCTGGTCTTGGTGTGTGGACCAGGGGTGCGGAGTGGAGCGCCAAGGCGAAGACCCGTCCGAGCCATCCACCTGCGGCCTCCCCCGTCTCCGGTCTTCTTGACTCTGTCTTGACACCGGGCCCAGGCGGGGGAGGAGGAGAGAGTGTAGGTAGATGCTACGCAAGTCTACTGGCACTATAAACCCCTGCGTAAGTCACCGTCCCTGCTCCCACAATGCAGTCTGTGGGGCACACGGTGGTCATCGTCGAAATCGACGGACGAACTGTCGAATAGCAGGCAAAATCCCGGTGAGGCGGTCGAAATTCAAAAGATCTTCCGTTTGGAGCCTTTAATTAGAAACAGCGAGGAGAGGGTGCGACCTAGACCGCTGAAAGTCGTGTTGAGAGGCAAGTAGCATACAGATGTAATATTGTTGCGTAATTCTTAGCCATGAGAAAATAATAGTGGATTGTTTTTTTAGCCGGATTACCCTGCACTCGGTCGGGTGAAAATGAGGACACTGGTAACATAATGGAGAAAATGTCGGAGTGAGAGCGAAATAGCGGGCAGTCAAACCGTAAAGACAGGACGCTCGTTCTTGCGGAATCATCTAGTGAAATTAACAGCGGATGTGCCGGTGTTCAGTTCCACCAAACCCCTATAGATCTAGAATCGGACAGCGGACTGGATATGTCATGGAAATATCCAACAGCAGTCATCAAGTGAAAGCACTAGCGGACAACTTGCGAAAGTCGACAGAACCAAATAATACGATAGATATGTACAGAAATGCGCAAGGCTTATCCAACGAATTGGACGAAATAAAACTGATCATGGCCCATTTCCAAACCGACTTAGATGCAATATATTATACCATACTTAGGGTAATGGGTAAAATTATTGATGGCCCTGTTAAAAACGGTATGTTATTGAAGTGGTGTCAGCAAAATATTTATTGGCACAGACTTTAAACAGTCATGAAATCCTTCGTTAGATTCACTTTAGTAGTTAATTGTTTTTCACACTCATTGTCTGAAGACGAGCTGGGGGACCGGTCTCGAAAATTTACAGAATAAAATTTACAGTTTCACAAACAGTTCCATCTCTCTAATTAAACTTATTGGGATGCCAGTTTTTTAACATTTAGAAAATATATAACTACGTGAGACTGAAAT